ATATTACTATACATTGGGTGGGCTGTATACTTGCTTTTCTACTACACGGAACCAAAGTGACCTAGTTTATATATAACATTATGTGATAATGTCTAGGTTTGCATATCCTTCAGATCAGTGGTGGGATTCAATTTTTTTTACTACTGGTTCTGTGGGCGTGGCTCGTTTGGTGGGCATGGCTTGGTGGCCATGTGACTGGGTGGGCGTGGCTTGGTGGCCATGTGACTGGAAAACCAAATACAAGTGGTCCTCACTTAATGGCCAGTGAATAAGCAAGTGTTCTAATTTATGACTGATCTCCCCAGAGCTACTTGACCTATTTTTGGAGTTTTCACAGCCATACAAACACACACACACACACACACACACACACTTCTAACCCTGCTATTCTATGATTCTGTAAGTATCTCCTGCTGGAGGAGGGGGTTGGACTAGATGACCTCCAAGATCCCTTGCAGGCCAGCCCTAGATTGCTGTGTTGCTTCAAAGAGTCTTCTGAAGCCACGGTTTGTGTCCTTCCTTCCTCTCTCTTTTTTCTCTCTCCCTCCCTCCTTCCATGTATTTATCTATCCATTCATATATCTCATTCACTTTCTCCTCTCTCCCTCTCTTTCTTTCTCTTTCTCTCTTTTTTCTTTCTCTCCCTTCCTCTTTCTTTCTTGCTCTTTCTTTCTCTTTCTTTTTCTCCCTTCCTCTTTCTTTCTTTCTCTTTCTTTCTCTCCCTTCCTCTTTCTTTCTTGTTCTTCCCCCCCCCTCTCTTTCTCTCCCTCTTTCTCTCTCTCCCTCCCTCTCTTTCTCTTTCTCTCTTTCTGTCCCTTCCTCCTTCCCTCTCTCCTTCTAAAGCTAGGAGACCCACCTGACACACATACACACACACACACACACACACACACACACACACTCCCTTCTAACCCTGCTATTCTATGTTTCTGTAAGGATCGCCTGCAGGAGCAGGGGGTTGGACTAGAAGATGACCTCCAAGATCCCTTCCAGCCCTAGATTGCTGTGCTGTTTCAGAGTCTTCTGAAGCCAGGGTTTGTGTCCTTCCTTCCTCTCCTTTTTCCCCCTCTCCCTCCCTCCATGTATTTATCTATCCATCCATATATCTCATTCACTTTCTCCTCCCTCCATCCCTCCCTCTCTTTCTTTTTCTTTCTTTGTCCCTTCCTTCCTTTCCTCCCTCCCTTTCTTTGTCTATCCCTTTTCTTCCTTTCGCTTCCTTTCTATTTTCTTCTTTTCTCTTTTCTCTTTCTTTTCTTTCTTGTCTCTCTCTCTCTCTCTCTCTTCCTCTCTCATTCCCTCTTTTTCTCTCTTTCCCTCTCTTTCTCTCTCTCTTTCCCTCCCCTTTCTGTATGTCTCTCTCTATGGCTCCCCCCCCCCCGTATCTCTCTCTGTCCCTTCCCTATCTTCCCCCCTCTCTCCCCCCCTCTCTGTCTCTGTCTCTCTCTCTGTGTGTGTCTCAAAGCCGTGGCTGGGCCAAGCCAGCAAGCTTTCCTTGGAGCTCTTCACTACTTCTTTCATGTCTTCTTTTTGGAATCCAGACTGGCTGAATAATGATTGCCAGCTGTGGTGGAAGCATCCCTTTGGACGACCTTTCTCCTCCTCCTCCTCCTCTCGTGACTGCTGGTCATGGCGGGTCCGGGAAGGTGCACTCGCGCGGGGAGACACTCGCTCCTCAAGTGAGCGCCGCCTGCCCCACACCTGGTTTTGCTGTGCTTTGGCCCTTGCTTGAGGAGCGTCTCCCTTCACGTGTGCACCCCCCCCGTCCCACCACAGCTGCCAGTCAGAGGAGGAGGAAGAGGAGGAGAAGGGCCATCCGAAGGGACACTTCCACCGTGGCTGGCGATCGTTGTTCAGCCTGTCTGGATTCCAAAAAGAAGAAATGAAAGAAGTCGCGAAGAGCGCTAAGGAAAGCTTGCTGGCTTGGCCCAGCCACAGCTTTGAGACAGACAGAGAGAGAGGGGGGGGGGAAGATAGGGACCCGGCCACTTCACTATCCCCCACCATCATCCTTACCTTCTCAGGCCAGGTGAGAGAGGGGAGGGTGAGGGGCAGGACCAGCCACTTCAGGCAAGGTGAAGAGGTGATGACCAAGCATGGGCGAGTAGAAGCCTGGTAACAGCGGATCCCGGCTTAGCTGGCCCAAGGGACTTTGAGGTCAGCCTGAGGGGCTTTGATGGCCTGGAGTGGCCAAGATCCGAGTAAGCATTGCACTCAGGGTTCACCTGCTGGCTTTACGGAGCCACAGGGTGAGGCCTGGGCTGACGTGCAACGGTAGTGCCATTAGTTACGCTCGCTTGTAAGTGTCCAAATAACCCAGCAAAGACACCAGAAGAGTCGCTCAGGTAGACCTCCCCCCTCTGCAATCCTCCTCCTGAAGAAAACAGCCATTCCCTGAGCTAAGAAGGCAAAGAGCTGTGGCTCGACTCACCCAATTCCTAGGACTACCCCAAATGGTCCCAATTCGGCATGGAGAAAGTGGTTCCCCCGGCAATCCCCCTTTCCCTTGGTCGGTGCTCTGACTTCCCATGGCCCACCGGCCTGAACATCAGGTTGGACCACTAGAAGGCCACTTCCCCACTTCTCAGCAGCGCTCCTGTGCCGACCACTGCAGGACCCTCCACCTGCTTCCCCAACTTCTCCCTCAACTTCAAAATGACGATGCCTGTTGCCGACACGGGTGCGACCAGGCGGTCATGGCAGGACCAACTAGAGGCAATTGTTCCAGGTCCAACGAAGGGGCTGCGGGCAGGAGAGGGAAGGGGTAGCAGGCAAAGGGGCAATGCGGGAAGCAAAGAGTCATGCTCCCTGGTCGCCCACCCCCACCCATCCCACCCCCCCACCTGAAGCCGCACTGAAAAAAACACTCCCTGTTCTATGTGCCCGGCCCAGCAATTTTGAGCAGCCGGTGCATAGAACAGGGCGTGCTTTTTTTGGTGTGGTTGCTAGACTGCAGCTGCACCGAAAAAAGCATGCAGCAGCTGCAGGCATTTTGCAACAAGGGGGGGGGACAAGCCCCGGGACATCCGCCACCCACCTGCTGGCTGGCTGGGCCAGGTCGGGCCAGGCTGGAAGAGGTGCGTCCACTGGGAGAAGGAAGAAAATGAGAGCGGGCAGACAGACGGATGTCCTGGGGCTGCTGCAAATGCGCACTGCATGTGTAGCAGCTGCACACGCAGTGCGCATGTGCAGCAGCCTTGAGACATCCGCCTGAGCTGCGCCACAGCCACCACGTAGTAGGGAAAACTAGGAGAGCAACCGGGACAAGTGGGCGACTGGGCGACCGGGTCGGGGTCGTGGCCAGCCAGGGATAGCCACCAGTTCGGTGACCCATGCCAAATCACTGCTACCGGTTCACCCAAGCCAGTGCGAACCAGTTGAATACTACCTCTGCTCCAGATTGAATATAAGAATTGCTACTATAGTTAGTTGTATGTGTAAACTTGTCCAAGAGAATGTGTAGTGGTTATAAGAAAAAACTCTACTGAATGTTGGGTGTAACCTTTGTAACAAAGTTTTGATATTGGAACCAATTACCTCAAAAAGTGGTGGACTTCATTGAATGTGTTCAAGTAGAACCTAGATAGACATCTGTCACACATACTTTACTTGGATTTGCACATTGAGAAGGGGAGCTGTCTTGATTGCCTAACTCATTCATTTATTAAACACATTCAGACTGTCCCAATTCAACTATGGACATAATTTATAGTAATAAAAACATTGTACATAAGGAAAAAGGCATTAAAAAATAAAATAGCCACAAAAAAGCTAGATTATATTTAAAATGAATCAAACCAATTTCAATCAACCTATTAATTCCAAATATACAATAAACAAGAATAACTTAAAAACTACTTTGTAAACTACTCAAATGTCACTTTTTTCAAAAAATATAGCAGCCCAATGATTTATCACAGAGGAAACCTACATTGTTAATTTATTTCTTTTGTACATACATACACAGACACAAAATAATATAAATAAATATAAATTATATAAAATACAAGGGTAATAACTGGGCATTGTCTTAGCTAGGCGAGATTGACTGAAACAAGTTAATGATTACTAAAGTAAGCTCCATTTGTTCAATTATTTTTTCTAAATCTGAATCCAGGCCCAAGATTGTGCATTAATCTTGTATGTGTACTTGGAAACAGGATCCATAGAAATCAACGAAAACATATCTAAGTCAACATATGCTAGATAAGTTTCCAAACGGCCATTATATACACTTTCATCCCTATAACTTTGGAATGACCTCCCTCTGGAGGGGCAAGATGTTCCAAAGGGGTGAAAGAGAAGGCTCGTCTGCTAGATCCCGCCAGCCAATGAAACTGCAGCATGCTTCCTCTGACGGCATGCGGGGGGGGGGGGGGGGCAATCCCAGTGGGATGAGATGATCCTTCAAAAGCATACTAAATTATTGTTGAGACCTTCAAAATAATTAATGTAAACAAACTGATTGCAAGATGTTCTCTATTTAAAGGCAAATAATATTAATATATAATAAATTTGAACTCCAGAAGTTGTTCCAGAATATGCAGCAATGTGTAAATGTGTATATAGCCCTCACCTGCAACTTTTATGTTTTCCGAAGACCAGGTGCTTGCTATGATCCGTGTTAGATGTTCTAAAACACTTCTGGAGGTCAGAAGCACTGACCAACTCAATTCAACTATTCAGATATGATATTTTTATTTATCATCATATTTTAACTACCAAACTTTTATTATGTATTCTGGCTAATCACCTTTGTTGCATAGATACTGTATATATTTTTTAAATGTGGAAATGAGGAATATGCTACATTAATCTGCAATAATTCTATCAGCCTCATACATGCTGAAATCCTCAAATAAAATTGTACTGAAGAGAAATGATAAAAAAATAATAATCAAGCGACTTGACACCTGCAACAAAGGGCTCTATGAATAGAGGGTCTAAATATTTTTCAAAGCTAATATTTTATTTTAAAACTATAAAAAAAAACTTCATACCTCTTCCACTTCTTCCGACAAATCTTAGATCGTTGAATCTTGCTACTTGATTCTTCATGGCAGCAGTAGCATTTCTGAGTTCTGCAGAGTAGTTTTCATCATTTCCAGCCATAACTGTAACCAAAATCCCATCAGGGACATCTCCTAATGCAACCACCTAAAAAAGTAAATGAAAAAAAAATACTTTTAAATAATTTGAGTGTATAAACTGTTAAAAAATGAAAATGAATTGGGATTAGAACTACTTTGTACAAAATAAATATATAGAGATGCAGGAGAATTCAACTAAGCAAAGTCGATTTAGGGCCAAGTGAAATGTGATTTAAATTATGGCTAACACTTCATGACTATATTCACAATGAGTTAATTTTTATACCAGTTTGTTGAATCAGTCAAATAGCTCATTTCATACTTAAGTCATAATTGGTGGGTCTGTACATCACAAAGTCAAAAACAAACAAATAACGTAACTGCTTAGTATAGCGTGGGAGCCCAGCCACAGATTTCCATGACACTCTAGACTAAAACGTAATTCATTCTACTACAGAAATAAATGTTGTTTATTAAAAATAAACAGCAAATGCATATGCTAATTTAGCAGAATGGAAAAAGTACAGTAATGCCAATGTTACGATTCTGCAATGATAAAAGGGATCTCCTACATACACTAATTTCAATGAGACCAACAAAAAAATATACACTAACAAGTTATGTACAAATGCTGCACATAAATGGTTGGAGAATGTATAAAACCAGCAAGAAAAAAACCATTCAAATTACTCAAAGCTCCATCCTGAAAGGATTTGGTGCTACAACCAATGTATTAACATATTATTGTTTAAAGATTCAGCAGATAGTACTGCATACTGGATATAGCTCAAGAAAGGAAGCATCCTTCTTGTGTAGTCTTCATTTATATAAATTAATTTAAACAAATTGTTTCAAATAAATAAATATCCTTACTATGTAATTACTGAGTTGGAACCACATCTGAAGTACATATAGAATAAAATCCCAGATTTTCAATTAATTTCTTCTAAACAAGATGAAGCCCACATTCATATAAATGAAATTGGCTTTGAACATTGACAGATGCAAAGAAGATAACGCTACTGTATTTTTCCTTTTGTTTCCTGACTAATAATCAAAGGAACTTCCAAATGTTTCCAGGCAAGATCATAAATTAAAATCAGAACTGCCACTTTACCACATTCAGACACTCATTTTATTCCCCATACACATTTTATCACTATATTTGGATCTTCTGAAACAATTCTGCAAATCTTTCTGACCCATTTCCAAACTGAATAAAAGCTAGGTGCTCACACAATACTATCATTTAACGTTTTGTTTGCTTTTCCCTAAGCATGATATACAATTCCAACCATCATGGTTTATTGTTGTGAATGAGTCATACTCTAAGACAGGGGTGTCAAACACAAGGCCCGCGGGCCAAATCCGGCCCGCCAGACCTCGTCTGATGGCCCGCGGTGCCGCCGCCAGCCTTGCAGCCTCCCCCTTTTTTTTTTCAATGAATTTACTCCGTGCCTGCACGGAGTAAATTCATTTTAAAAATGGCTCAAGTTAAAAAAAAAAAAAATTTACTTACCTTCCGGGACCTGGCCCGACTTCTTCCTGCCCCGCACTGCTCCCTGGGTGTCGGACGTGACGTCATCACGTGACGTCCGCCCGACATCTCCAGGGATCAGAGGAGCGCGCGGACGCCGCGGAGAGGAGCAAGAAGAAAGAAGTAAAAGAAAGAAAGAAGTAAAAGGTAAGTAAAGTAAATGGAGGGGGCAGATGGCTGGGCACTATAAAAGGGGGCAGTCCAACAGCAGCCTGAAAGCGAAGTTCCAGGATGCGACAGTCGACGACTTTTACCGTCTCCTCCCCCCTGCTTTGATGCCACAGCTCCGACTTCAAGCTGCACGTGTTCTGTCCATGTTTGGGAGCACTTATCTATGTGAACAGATGTTTTCAGTCATGAATCTGAACAAGACCAAGCTCAGATCACGCATCACTGATGATAACCTCCATGCTGTTTTGCGGATTGCTACAGCACAAGACCTAACGCCAAACATCGATGGACTGACCTTAGGAAAACGATGTCAGCCATCTAGTCAGTAAAGTTAAAAAAAAGGTAATGCCTTGTGTTTTCCATATGTTTAATAAACAGTGTTTGGCAATATTTGTATGTTTAAAAAAAAATTAATGTTTGTTACCAAAAAACATTTTTCAATACATTGTACAATAATTGTACATTTGAATATCTACTTGTCATTATTCTGACTATGTTTCTGCTTTCAGAGCTAGTTATTACTTACATTATTACAAAAAACAGTAATAATTGAATGCAGTGACATTAATTTATGATAATAAAGAGTGGACACATAGACCTACAGATACAACCGGCCCTTTGATGGGGACCAAACTGCTGATGCGGCCCCCGATGAATTTGAGTTTGACACCCCTGCTCTAAGACATATCCACCTATCCATGGTTTAAAAATCCTAATCTGATTTTATGAGAATGTTGAAAAGCATATTACCCTGTTCTATAAGGCAAGAGCAATAACAACTTTAAAGATTTTTACTATTAACTGTTAAATACTATTTACTATTTTACTATTAACAATGCAGCACATATATCACATCAAAACTGTAGTGAGTTGTCATAAGGAGATTGCTTACATAAGATGCTTGCTTACATAATTAATGAAAAAAGTTTTATCAAATTGTAGCTCTGATGGCTTCACTCTATATTTCCTCTATATGGGATAGAGAAAGTTTGCATTTTCATTTATGTTTGATTATAAATAGTCATATGCATAACTTGCTATAACAATGACCATCTTATTATTAAACTTACATAGCCACTTCTTTTGTAATTTATCCTATGGTATCCTGCCATATGCCCTCCCATTATTCTGAACTTTAGTTTTTACTTTTGTCACTGTTTTTTTTCTTTCAGAGTGTTCTATTATCCCACTGTTACTTCTGAGAGTTTAACTTTATTACAGTTGTACATGAGCACTAAGTGCTACCGGTAATAGTTTGGTTTATTAATTTTCCCCCCATTTATATTTCTCCTGGATTAGGACCAATTGCACTGAGCTGAAGTTCATTCAAAATCAATGTAATTTAGTACAACATAAATAATTAGAACCAAGACATTGGAAATCACAAAACACAAAGACCTGCAAATAGAAGTGGCAAAAGAAACCAAAAGATAGCTTCAGTAGTAATAGGCGCCTTGGGTGGCAATCCGAAAACACCTATAGCACTACTTGAACACCATTAGTATTGACAAAATCACTATTAATCAATGGAATAGCTTACATCCTGGGACCTTTAATATTATTGAACAACACGTGCCTATTCTGGGGTCTTGGGAAGGAATCAATAGGTGGACAAAAATGCCAAATGGAGTCTAAACATCTAGTTGACTATGGGACAACCATAATTTATTAACTGTAGACGACTCCTACAGATTCAGAACAGTTTTATAAATATTTTCTCTTCCTGCATCAACTGAAAGCCACAATTTATTTTTTCACATTCACCCACTACTACTCTTTTGCCTTTCTTTTTAACATATTTGGAATAATAAAATATTCATGTAAAATTCAAAAAGCAGACAAATGTTTTTAAGGGGAAATAATGGCGGACAAATTCCAAGACAAATTCCAAAATGATGGAATCTGTATAGTAATAAAAATGACCATTTTTGTTGGGATAAATGAGAAGTACTATTTAGGATTAAAGGTTATCTAAGGATATTATAATTTTTGTCAACTGTGCCTGAATCTAATGTGTAAACTCAGTCATTCTAAGGTTAAATGTACAGAAATGAAAAAAAAATCATGCTACCTACAACTTAATTCATTATCTAAAGTTTCTTTCCATCATCATGCTCATATAATAAATATTAAATATTCAAAATCTTCTGAGTGATCCAAGTATGCAAAAAAATCTGTAAGTTGCACAGAGTGGCTGGGAGTCAGGCAGCATATATATTTAATAAATTCATCATCATCATTTTAGCCATTGCCTATCCACTGCAGGATGATGGCCTCTTCCACATGTTGCCAACCTGTATGGTCCTGGGCTTTCTTTTGCCAATCGGGCCTGCAATATTTAATAAATTATTGTTGCTATTATTAGATTTGGAGCTTTTCTGGCTGAAGTTTTAAGACATTTCTAGCATAAAGAATTCAAGGTATATTAGACAACTCGACACTGGGTTTTTCAGGAGTATTCCTCAAGTTACAATATTTTATATTTTCAGTGATGAAAAACAGTTAAACTAAGAAAATTCAGCACAATACTTACAATAAATGGAAAATATTCTAGAAAATATTAATTCTGTGCATGTTTCTTAATATTCATGTTGTAGTTCTTAAAAACCTCAAAAATATTTCTGCCTTTAAAGTACTGAGCATATTTCTTAAACTCACCATGTTTATTCCATGGTGAAAAAATTCTAGTAAGGCCCTAGCAAAAACAATAGAAAAAAATCTCTAGGCCCAGGAGAATGTGACTGGTAATTAAAGCCTGTAAAAGAGTCAAAGAACACAAACATTTACATTATAAAACAGTCTAAACAGATAAGGTAGAACTTGCTGACTGGAGATAGTTAGCATTTGAATTGCTGAGTTTACAAAAGTGGTTTTTATGCAAACTGGATGGAATATCAGATGTTTAAAGCAACTTTACTATTAAAACCTACTAATTGGAATAGTAAGTAATTTTGTGAGATACTTCATGGTTATCAAATCAAGTAAATAATACCAGAAAACATTTATCATTAGTCATTAATTCTAATAAAAGCAGTACTAATTGAACATTTGATTTTGAAAGAAAATTTCTACAAATAATAGATTGTGAATTTATTTTAGATTGTGAAATGTTTTATAAAACACTGGCAAAAAGCAAACTCTTATAGATCCAAGCTTTTGAAATAATAATTTCACATCACTAACTTCTTCCCTATATTATTCAAATATTTCTAATAATTCCCCATCGACTCAATTTTGATAAGGGATTTGGTTATGAGTCTATGAAGGAGTTACTGTTAGGGATAATAACAGGTGCAGTGAGAAACAATAATCAAAATGATTTGATGCTGAATCTTACAGGACAGCTGATTGGAGTACAAAAATCCTGAAGAAATGGAATTGAACATTTCCTTGTTTCTCACCTTAGCTACTGCTTAAAAAAAAAAAAAAAATCAGGCAGGCATTCCAGCCAAAATATGGTGATTATTTAAGAGCTGTGCTCAAATTTGAAGATAAAAGAGGAAGCCTTTTCTGGCGGCTGTCAGCCTGTAGGGAAGTGAAAAAATTGAAGCATAGCCAAAGGTGGGGGAGTGATCCTTGCCTTTTAAGAGCCTCTCGGAATGGAAATATTTTGTGAACCATCTGACAACTACACCGCGGCCTTCTAACCAAGTAGCTTCTTCACGGCTGTACTTTTAATCGCCGCTAAGATTGCACTGGTGGTAAAAAGGGAAAACAAGCAGTTTTCGGAGACAGTGACTTGCATTTCTTAATGAAGACAAATCAAGACGCTTCGGTCTAAGATAAGCAGGACTTGCTACCCTCTAGGTGCAGAGCAAGAATTTAGAGAGATCGCGTGTGGGACTGCCAGGAAAAAGGCCGCCCAGCATTCTGCCCTTAGCCCTGCGGTTAAATCCGTCCTAGCAATAAGATTTGGGGGCATAGTTTGCACATGTTGCAATTATTCGGACCCCATTCTATCTTGTACGCTAGCCCGCGATCCTTAAACGGTTGCCGCTCAAAAGACGAAGGAATAAACTGCACGAACATCCGACGCGGAACAGTGCGGAAGACTTTTTTTAGACAACTGAAATAATTAACCCACCCAAGACATTTCAAAAGCAAAATAACAGCGGGGAAGGTGGAAGAAGCCGCTTCCCGGGCAATTAACGGGCTGCAGTAGCGCCTGTTCTTTTCCAAGTGCAATTCAGTACGAGTACAAGCACGGTGGCAGGAAAAGTTCACGCTCTAGAAATGTGTGAGGGCACAAGCGGGAATAGGAGAAGAGGCAAACAAGGCGCAGGCCTTGATTGCGGGGTGCTCCCGGTGACAAGTAATTGAGAAAAACAAATCAAAGATTAAACCAAAAAGCAAGAAGCTGGGGTCTTCCTTTACTAAAGGACAGGGATGGAGAAAGACTCGTGCGAGTGAAAGTTGTTACCTATCAACAGGTGCGAGTCCATGAAATGATTGGCGGGAGGTTTTTAAGTCAAAGTATACCGGATCTGGGCACGTTTCTCGTTGTTAGACTCGCACTTCCGCTTTTCAGGAGGAGGCCGAGAAATCATAGCCCCAGAGCAACCCTCCAGAAATGAAGAATACCGAGCGACTGCGAAGGTTATTTTAGGAGAAAGCTAGGGCGCTTTTCTGATACATTTTCTCTTTTGAGATGCCCCTTCGCAGGATTTGTCCAGGCACGTTGGATTTATTAACAGCCTTAACTCACCTGACAAGGTTCTGTTTAACGCCTTGGTGGGTCACTGATTAGACACGTGTACTAGTAGCCTCTGGGAGATCGGTGAGAGTTTATGTGAGATCCAAGTGGACTTGCAGGTTTCAGAATTAAAACGCTATGGGCAACTCTTTTTGAATTGTAACTCATACAGTATTTCCCTTTCCGTTCCTTCACCTAGAAGCTCGTTTGTCAATATAGACGAGCATTTATTTCTGAATCCTAGAATGTGCCTTCTGGGTCGCCTCAATTTAAAGTTTAGATCACGCCCTACTCGTCGAAGGAAAAGGAACAAAGCAAGGTCCCTGCACCGCGGAATTATTAATTGCTTTAGGGAAGTGCGGCTTCCGCTAAGAGAAATCTTGGGTTAGTTTTAGCCAAATTGCAAATACTAGACACTCCCCAGCTTTGGGATAAAATTCTCAGATATTTTTTTTAGATGAGTAATTGGAAGGGGTGGGCGTTAATTGTTTTGTTTGTTCGTTACAAATTCAAGATGCAGAAAAAATCTAGACTTGTCCCTTTGGTGGAATTGGATCCTAATATCAATCAAAAGCCTATAATTTTGCAGTTCAAGCACTAATTTTTTAATTAGTGTCATTATGAATATTTTGGTTTATCCAAGTTGATGTAGCTAAAGTCGTAGGCTGAGTTGTTAATGAAGTGCAACTATAGAGGCACGGTACTTTTAAAGTGAACTTTTCTCTCTTACTGATTTTTTGAACATGGAGATTAACGTTTTGATATATGAAATAAAAGGAGTTAATACTGCTTACCATAATTCAAAAATTGTTAACATATTTAGAAAACCCATTTCATTTAGCTTTTGAAAATTACTTTGTAAAGAACTTCTAATTAAGACTCAGAAATTTTAATTCATTCAATAGTCTTTACATTGATCACAGGAAATCTAATCTGCTTTTAGATCCCACAAGTCTATCTGGAATTGAGATACACAAAGGGCATGTGGCAACTCTGTTGCAGTTACTACTCCATTTGCACATATGTCATAGATATTAAGATGAAAGAGGTTAAATATGACAATCAGTTATAGATCCCAGTTCTTCTGTTTAACAGTCTTGGAGTTGGAGATACTGGTTGTAATTCATTTTGTTGTCACTGGAGAAGGGGTAGGGAAACCTTTTGACTTGGCATGAAATCTTTTGATCTGATCCACCTTCCTTTGAAATATTTCCCAAGATAGTTATGTATGCCATCACCTGCTTTTCAAGAATATCTTGGCATGAAATCTTTTGATCTCTCTTGTTGAGCTGGTGGCTGATGGTTATCCCTGAGGGTACTGATATAGCAAGAAACCCCACTGCATCCAGTGATTGCTCTAAATATTGTCTGCTTTGGATACAATAGTTATGGTCTCAAGATCAGGTTGTTTGGATTGAATCAATCAAGGTTAGGTAAAAAGAAAACTGTAATCCTCCACTGGCCAATTGCCATGGTCTCTTGAAGGCATGCTGATTGTTGGGATGCTTGACCTTAATACAAAACTAAATGGTCTTTCCTAGCATCCCTCCTGGCACTTATGTACTTGGGCAAAAGTGCATCTTCATAAGGCTACAAAGATGGTGTTGATTGACTATGAAGAGTTAAAGTTCAGAGTATACGCTGCTGCCTTATATAATTAAAAAGAAAATGTTTTACAATACACTGGATCAGCCTAGTATATATTTCAAAGCAGTAAAATAAAATCTAGACTTGAAGCAGATTATAATGGCACTGTATGAAATTGTAATACAAGGCTGTGCATGGAAGTGGCCCTGTTGTGTTGGCAGCATATTCTCAATATAGTTTGAACCTCATGTACCTTAAAGTACATTCAAAACTGGGGATTATTCTGAAAAATGCATAAGGTTGTGCTGTAAAATTGCAAAGTTTATTTCCCATAGGAAGTAGTAGAATTTATTTCACAAAATATTCTTGGAATTGTTTTTCTGGATGAGAATGCTTACACATTTGTTGGTAAATCCCATCAATTTCCAGAACACTTTTCTACATACATGAAAAAGAACTGATTCCTTGAAAATAAGACCTATTGAAAGAAATCAGAAGAGTTGACTAATTCTTTTTTCTGCCATTTCTTACCCTCTCAAACCCTAGTCCAAATCACAAATGTTTGGCATAGAGCACAAATGAGTAGAAATCAGCGGTGAAACTCAGAACAGCAACTTGCACTTTTAGCTTGCAAAACTAATGACAGCTGTACGAATAAGTGCCATTGTTATCAGTAGATCTTACTTGTGATTAAGTACTCAAAAATGGCATGGCTGCAGCCCTGAAGTTATTGAGGATTTATTTGGAATCCTCCTTCAGTATTATATCTTCCCGAATGAATTGGGAGATTGGCTGTCCGCTGCAAAGGGTGACAGAAAAATCGTCCCCCCACCCCTTCAATATGATTCCGCAGTTATACTTGCGTAGTATCTCTCCCCCCCCCCCCCAGTTCCTTGTCCCCCACCTTCCTACCTTGAAAGCGATCGGCAGAGTCTTGTTGCACCTCCAATGGGTCGGCAGGACAGAGCAGAGGAAGTTGGGGCTGTCGGTGCGGACCAGTTCTCCCGGATGATCGGCTAAGACATCCACCATGCTGCGATCTGCGTTTTTCAGTTTCCCCACCAGGGCGCTGTTGCCGTTCTCTTGGCCGACCAGCGGCAGCGCGTCGCTCATCTTGCCCGGGCTCAGAGTGGTGGAGGGCGGCGTGAAGCGGCGGCTGGTGCTGGTATCTACGGGGATACGCATCACAACAAGCCTTTTGAGTGAAAAAGGTCCTCAGAGGGTTTCGGATAAAGCGATACAAGCGCAACTCTTCAGCCAGCGGTTCTCGGGAGACCAACATAAAAAGAAAGAGGCTTAGGGTCCCGGTGCAGAAGGGGCAAACGAAGCGAAGCCACTCCAGGAGCGAATTTGGACTAGTTGGACAGAGCAGGGGAACGCCGGGGCTCCTGGTCCTGCCAGAATTAACCCAAGCATCCAGTTTTAGGTTGCTCTTCTCTGGAAGTCTATGTGTGCTCTTTAAAAATGAAAAACGGCCTTATAGATTTGGACAAGTTTCTCTGCTTTCCACCCCCTCGGGGAATTACCAGTGTTATTAAAATCAAAGGTTCTTCTGAAATCCCACACACTGAGAAACGTTTTGAGCAGAGGAAGTGTCTGAAACAAAACAACCCCCACCACGCGCACACACACACACGCACGCACACACAAAAGGAGGGAAGGACCTAGACTTTTCAGTAGTTAATTTCCTATTATTTTTCGAAGTTCAATGGTCTTCCCCTCCCGCTGCTCCTAAAGGCTGTCTAAGAATTCAGATCATTCATCAAGTCTCTTGTCGCACACGTGGATGGGGGAGAAAAGCGGTTTAAAAGAAACTGGGGGAACAGGCTGCAGAGGACGAGAGCTGAGGTTTTCAAAGGTCAACCGGCTATCACAGCATTATATAGTGTACTTCATCAAATATTTACAGCTGACTCTATGGAGAATTTAAACACAACAGAACGCCATTAATGTTCTCCAGCAACGTCCTTTCCCCCCCCCCAGCCAAAGCAGCCTTGAACCCCAGTGTGAGTAGTTTGCCTCGCGTTGCTCTGCAGTCTTCCTGTCCCGGTTTCGCAACGCTTTGACTAAATTACTTAGGCTGCCTCAATTCAAAAGAGACTTGTACAAGTCCTGAGATGTCAGTGTGCCAACAATCTGAAACGCGCCCGGAGGGGAGGAAGAGAGAGAGAGAGAGAGAGAGAAAGCCTTTTGGTTGGAGTCGCTGGTTGGCTTGTGGGTTCTTTCTGTGGTTAATGTTCGCAGCAATTTTAGAAGTCACCCAACACTCTGTGGCCGCTGCGTGAGTCACTGCCAACTGTGGAGGAAAATATCTGAAGTAATATTCCTCCAATTCACCCACAGGGGCCGGCTTCTCGGCTATGGTTTAACCACAAGCAGGTGGAGCTCTGCTTTCGGGACCGCCGTTGGTTTTCCCCTCATGTCTCAGTCCTCCCTTCGCGCGCTCTCCTTTCACTTCACTTCAATTGGACGTGAACTCCAGGCTGAGCGGTACAGGTCTGTTCCTTCTCTCAAGCAGGGCTAGCAGCACGCACGGTGGCCAGACAAAACAAGACGCAAAAAGCAAAACAAGTCTCCCCGAAGTACGAATTGGCCAAACACCGGAGCTTCCTCCCGGCAGAAGTCGCGCTCCCAAGGCAGAAAAAGGGTTCGCGCGTTCACCAGACTCCAACGGCAAGCTTTCCCGAGGTCTGCTTCCCGTACAGGCCAGCCTCTCTGCCAGCTGTGTGTGACCTTCTGCGAGGCGCTGTTTGTTTGCTCATGCTGATCTGAAGAAAGCCTGGCTCCCCCTCCTCCCCCTCTCTCTCCCTCGCGCCTTCTGGCCCTATGAATGGAGATGACTGGAAATGAAGTTGCTGTTACAGTAAGAGAGTCCAGAGGAATGTCATTCCCTCAGCTCTTTTGCATAGGGGAGGGCGCCACCCAATCAGAACGCTTTCCGGTATTAATCAGGGCGCGGCTCCAAGCCGCGGGGCTCCTGGAATTGGCTCATGCGCCGCCGCGAAAGCTACTGTAAAAGCCCCAAACAGGCCCCGCGTCTCAATGGGACGCCGCGGCCAACGGGAGGCTTAGACCAAAAAGCTTGTGTGGTGGCGGCTGTGCTTGTGTCGGGGCTGCGGTGAAAGGCGGGCGAGCGGCAGAGGTGGGGTGGAGAAGGGCGCGCGCATTCCTCCCCCCCCCCCCGCCCCCCCGCGCACGGGTCCTCGAGGGATCAGTAAAAGGTCGCGAAAGTAGCACTTAAGGAGCTCGAGTCATTTGAACGATTTGACGAACAAGCGCGCACCGCCCAAGAGATCCCCTCAGAGTCGACGGTCGTGAAGAATCTCCTCAGAGGCTCTCTTAAGTGGAGCTACAGGCTAGGTCCACCCGCGACTGAGCTGCTTCGTTCCCCATAATTGCCAGAGCTAAGAGTCAGAAGGAAGTGTGTGCCTGGCTGCGAGCAAATGGACAGCTGTTGTATTTATGCCATAGATATGTGTTAAGAAAGCTTGCAAGCCCTTTTCTCCATACACGGGGGCATCAGATGGCAAAAAAGTGAAGAGAAAGCCCGCTCCATGAAGAGGGTGACTTTTCCCATCTTCCCAAGCCATTTTATTTTGGTTTCATCACCTATATAAAAACCAAGGAAATTTATGTGTGACACTGCACAGCATAAAGGTAGAGTGCATGATGTTTGAGGAAGAGATATTCACCGATTGTATTTCTTCCTGCTATGCAGTTCCTACAAGTAATAGCAAGATTTTTAAGATGGGGGAACCTCAGTCTTCCTATGTACATGAGAGCTAAAAAATGTACCTGCATTTCTTCTCATTTCAGATCCTATTAAAGATGCAAATTCCCATTTTGCATCTTTTTTTAAATCAAAGCCTCACATCTCTGGAGATTACAGGCTCATCCTCAAATTTTCCTGACTATCATATGAATGTGTCCTACTACTTTTAAAAGAATGTCATGTCTTGGTGACATATATCTCATCTCCTGACCACACATCTTAAAGTTGCACATAGCTGATCCAATTTTAAAGTTAATGCTTTTCCTCTTCTCCTGGCACATTTTTGACACAGATATAATACAGTATATTTCATCAACAATCTTACTGCTGATGAAATCATACTAAGATCTACAGAATTCCTGTTGACCTGTTTAGACTGCAGTGTGCTGGAGATCTCTGATCACAGAAATCTGCTCCCAGTGATGATTTTAGCTTAGGATGTAGGAGATATACTAGGGAACTGGTTTTCTCAGACATCTGCCCATTTAATGCTTGATTGGTACTTTCCAGTGCCTTTTTCAGATCTTACACGGACTTTTTACAAACAAGAGTTTACATCCCTTTTGAAAAAGTACTAGCTCTTTATTAAAAGAAGCAAACCAAAGCTTTCTTGAAGATTGCTTGTCCTGTGTGCTGCATTGGTTGATTCTAATAAAAAAGAGCTCAGTTTTACCAACTGTGTTGTTGATTCTGTCACCATTGGTACAAGTTTCCTGCTGTTCCTGCAACAAAGGATCTAGTTCTGCTTTTTTACTATTTTTATTAGTCTGCTTGGAAAGGAAAATACTTATTGTGACCATTCTATTTTGGATTCTTTGTCTTCGGGGCTGATCTGGATTTTCTGCCGGCAATGCCATTCCCTTGCTCACTATGGATTGAACCTTCACATTTCATCCTATGTCGTCCAAATTTTGTCATCCTGGCTACTTTGGAGAATGGCTTCAGTGTTTTAGAAGAGCATTAAAGCCATGTTCAGAAGTAGCCCCAGAGTGCATCTTCTTTGATCTGTGACCAGTGGCTAGGCCTTCTCTTATACTTACCCAACCCAAGGAAAGGCAGAATGATGGGTGGTTGTTTTATTGCTTCAGATGATGTATGGTAGATGGAAAAATAAACTCATGAAAATTTACCAGTTGCTTTCCTTGATTTGCCTGGGAGTAGAGCATGGCAAAGCCATGCAGCAAATTTCACACCAACATACTTTTCTCAATGCTGAAGGACAGTATTTTAATGCAACAGCCTGGCTGTTCCATTTGTTCAAATGCTAGGTCACTCACTCCATTCTGTGTTCCTTTGGAGGCATACAAAGTATCTTGCAAAAATTTGATCAGAGTCTGTAATCACTGAGACATGTCGTGGCTCAGTTATAAAGATCATGGTTCTTGGTTCTTCAGAAAGTCAGGCCTCATTCCAAAAACTTTTGGCCCAGAACAGAAAGTCATATGGTTTCCAGTTCTCCCTTTTCAGAACATTGAGAACCAAAATACACAATAAGAGCTCCTGAATTGAGCTTAGTTTTAGGGAAAGAAATATCTGGTTTTCCTAGGATATTCCTCTCTTCTGTACCTTAAAGTACATAAGGCTACCACACTAGTTTCCAGCTGTGAGTGAAAGATGAAGGATAACAATGTATACAGCAACTTGTGGAGCTGAGAAATGCAGGATATTTCCAAAAATAGCTCAGAATGTGAATCCAGGTTTCCCAATAAGCAGGATTACATTCCTTCAAAATTTGTCTTATTTTATTTGTCCTGTAGCCTAGCAGTTTCACATTGTTTGATTCTGTAGTTTTACAAGTTTACATCTATTTAAGGTTTTTCTTTCTCTGAGTTTTTCTTGACAGATAATAATTAGAGTGGGGACTTCCAAATGGCAAGAATGACAGACATATTGCAATAACCATCTTTTTGGTTCATCCAAATGAGTGTCCTAGTCTTTTAGAGGCGGGTTGGTTTATTTCTGTAGTATGCTAGAGGGTACTTTAAAACATTACAGAATCCTTGGATTTCTATTTGTCTTATGTCCTGATATCATACAACAGGGAGAGTTTATAGCCAATTGAACACAGGATCAAAAATATATATTTTATCATTCTTTTTAAAAGCACATCCAGGTAGACCTATATTCTACTAATATTCTGATTTCCTCACTGATCAAATTCACCACCATCCTTCAGTCTAACCTCCATTTCACAAGAATGTGGTTCTCACAACATATTAAAGGGAAAAATCTTCAACAATAAAAGTGTTCATGGTATCATTTTTCTGCTACTCTCCCCATGCCATGAACACAGGAGGCTCTTAACATTATGTGAATTCAAAATGTATGTTGTCTTGGGTGAATGTACTTTAGTTGATGTTGGTTACATAATCTAGGGCTAGGCTAAGGGGATTCAAG